GTCTGACAACATGTGTATAGGGGTCTGACAACATGTGTATAGGGGTCTGACAACATGTGTATAAGGGTCTGACAACATGTGTATAGGGGTCTGACAACGTGTTCTGTGAAATTTAGGCCCTTTCCAAAATAGCACTTCCAGCCATTTTGGAGATTTGTTTTGGAAGAATATCGTGTAATAAGTACTATTTACAACATGAGCGGCCGTGTTGTATCGGATATACAAACTCGAGCCGAAGGCGAGAGCAACTGCTCCTGGTTATGTAGGCCTAACAACTGCGCCTGGTTATGTAGGCCTTGCAACTGCTCCTGGTTATGTAGGCGTAACAAATACGACCTAATACCACTGGAGCAGAAACAGGTCACCACGGTGATCTCTTGTTTTAGAACACAAACTTGTCGTAATGGTCGTAAAAATAGAGTTACGATCTTTCTCAACGGCCAGTTTATAAGTACCTACTATTTACAACATGAGCGGCCGTGTTGTATCGGATATACAAACTCGAGCCGAAGGCGAGAGTTTGTATATCCGATACAACACGGACGCGAATGTTGTAAATGACTTAAAAAAACGACTCATCTTATGAGCTCATTGGCGAAGTAATGTTAAAAATAAACGTTGTCTAAGCCGAGAAAATCAAAGTTAAAGTTTATGTAAATCAACATGAGTCTGTATCACATATACAGATACGACACGCTTATGATTTTTCTTTGTGTTTTCTTCATGAATTATTAATGAGTTTTTTAATAATATTTGAAAATTTCAGGGTATATTTGATGGTATGACATATAAAGAAGTGCTGGAGAAATATCCTGATGAACACGAACAACGCTATGAAGACAAGTTTAAATATAGATCACCGCGAGGGGAGGTAGGGGGAATGTTATTGTTCTGTTTGATTCTGGCTTCATAGTTTGTTTGTTGGTTGGTTAGTTTGTTTGCCTGTTTGTTTGTTTGTTTGTTTGTTTGTTTGTTTGTTTGTTTGTTTGTTTGTTTGTTTGTTTGTTTGTTTGTTTGTTTGTTTGTTTGTTTGTTTGTTTGTTTGTTTGTTTGTTTGTTTGTTTGTTTGTTTGTTTGTTTGTTTGTTATTTATGCGTTAGCTGGTTAGTTAATTGGTTAGTTAGTTAATTAATTGGTTAATTAGTTAATTGGTTAGTTAGTTAATTAATTGTTTAATTAGTTAGTTAATTGATTGGTTAGTTAATTAATTGGTTAGTTAGTTAGTTAGTTAGTTAATTAATTAATTAATTAGTTAGTTGATCCCTTACTTTTTCATGCAGTTTACAGTATCAGTTCGTTCGTCCATATTAGTCAGTTGCCTTAACGAGTTCGTTAAACGAGTGATTAATTGATTCATTAAATTTTAGTCGTATAATGACCTGAAAGTGAGATTGGAGCCAGTCATAATGGTAAGTTATTAAACATTCAAAAATCTAAACTTGCTTTTAGACACCGTTAATATGATGTACTTCGTAGGGGCTTCGGTGGCGCAGTCAGAGCAAGCCTCTTTCACCTCGGAGATAGTGGGTTGGATTCTCGCTATGAACTCATGTGAAAAGAGTCAGTCAACGCTCTGACGAAAGTCGTGGGTTTTCTCTAGGTGCTCCGGTTTCCTCCCACAGGGAAAGTTGACAGTTAGGATAAACACAGTTAAGAAAGCAATCTCACAACTGTTGTATAGATAAAAGTAGTCTAGGCTAAGTAAGTAATTCGGTAAGCGTAATCCTTGATGTAAAGCACATTTGATCATATCTACATGAAGCTAAATTTGCGCTATATAGAGATGCTAATCCTAATCGTAATCGTGTACAATTATAATTAGGAGAAGAAAACTTTGTTCAAATACTAGATCTATATCTGCATTTCTGTTTAGGAACTAGAACGGCAACAAAATATACTTGTTATTTGTCATCAGGTAGAGTGCCATTTAACATTTATAAAAATTAAACAATATATGCATGGATAATTGTATTGTGTTGTGTGCTTCTCAAGAAGGCCATAAACTTACTCCTTGTTCTTTTGTACGAAAATGTGTGTTTTTCTTCTCAGGCTGTTCTTCGGGTGCTACTTGCATATTTCTTGGACAGTCCTTCTGGTAAGTAAGTTCTTCGACAGGCAATTATATAACCATACTAATTAGGATGAACAATGATATAAAAATACTAATGAAGATGAGTTTTATCAGATATGAAGTTACTCCACGTGACATATTATGGCTGACATGATTTGCTGTGGCAAGGTTTATGAATTTTTAATGATTTTTTAAGTTCAATTAAAATATTGAAAGTTCAGCAACAGAGTTTTACGTCAATGCTTGCTTTTTTGTGTATTTTCATTTTTTGCTTTTGTTTTAAGTAAGTGAATTGTAGACTCATTTGTATTTTACTCCTGTTGAGTGAAATTAGTGAAATAATTGCACTCCTCTAACCAATTAGATTGCAGTAATTTTGTCATGCATACCGTATAATAAAATGATTTATTGAATTAGATGCAAAATTGCATGTACTGTATAATGTTCAAATCGAACAGTTAATGTAATAATGAAATTCATTTAACTCAACATTATCGTATGAAGTATATTTTTACATTTTGCTTCGCACAAATCGTGGGCATGCATTCAATTCCATCGACCTTGTTATGGAATTAGGGATTAAATTAACTACTGTTACGATACGAGTGGGGTTTTGACCATAGAAATATTAGACCTAGAATGCGTGCTTGGTCACGTGACCGGTGTCCAAACTGAAAACAAAAATGCCCTTATAAATCCGCCATGTTGAATTTGAGTAGGAGTGCAAACTACAAAGTATAAACAAAACTAAAACTATAAAGTTTTCATCGTCAAAACGTTTGGTATTTGTAGTTTGGGGATAGAATTTGAAATATTAAGTTCTTTAAAGGCTCAAAGCAAATGTGCCGTTACAAAAACGGTGAAAATCGTGCAGCCTTGTATAAAAACAAGTAGTTTTTCGTGTAGTTTCGCGTATAAAATATAACTTACTCATAAAACATTTTTGCAAGCTCTGAACGTAACTGTTTTGCTAATACTTTATAAAATTACGAGATGATAGTTCATTCTTCGTCGGGTTTTGTTTTTCTTCAATCTAAACGAAGTGTTTTCATGTTTTTGAAACAAATATATTTCAGTTGTTGATATTTAAAACTGTAAATCGCCTAAATGATCGTCGAAAACATATGGTTTCAAAAGCGTTGCCTCAAGCTCAAGCAACGTATAAAAAAGTATAAAAAGTAGTTGTGTAAGTTTAAAAAGATTATTGAACTCTATTTATATTATAAAACAGTTGAAATATATTTTTTAAAACATACCTCTTGAGTTTCAGTTTGTCTTGATTTTTCGTGTTTTGTTTTGGCTTGCACAACAACGTTGAAAATGTATTTTGAAACGACGATTTCTCTATATATTCTGTTCAGAACTATTGCTCTTCGTAAAAAAACCCACGGGAATGGGTTTTTCTCCATTAAAAACACTTTTTTTCCACTTCAAGTCTGGATAGAATTGTTTTTGCAAACTTTGTTGAAAAAAAACAATTCGCACTCCCGGCACCGCGCGAATTTCCACGCCACAGGAGTCTGGGACTAGCCAAATTGCCAAAATGCCCTTATAAATCCGCCATTTTGTGGAGACAAAATTTTTACTGAGAAGAGATAGGAGCACGCATTCTATGTCTATTATTTCTATGGGTTTTGACGGATGAAACGTGACGAAAACCAAAGTGTGCAATGGTGAAAAACGTGCAAAATAAAAAAATCCACTTTCAATATCATGTGATAGTAATCAGCCAATTAAATAACGACAATTCAAAAAGGTGTTATATTAACTGGATTAGTGTATGTTTTGTGTGTGCTTATCCATTACCTTTTGTTTACAGATGAGTTACCATACATGAGAGTACCACTTCATACTGTTTACAAACTTACTCCCATCGCTTTTGGTAGGTTGTAAATATTTAAATTGGTCATGGCTTATAAAATATATGTTGAAGTAATTGGTAGCAAAGTCCGGAAAACTCACGAAAACCTCTTAGAAGTATGTGTTTAACCATTCATTGGAATACAATGGATTACATACAATTGAATGCAATGGAGTACAATTGAATGCAGTGGAATGCAATAGAATACAATAGAGTACAATTGAATAAAATGGAATACAATACAATGCAATACAATGCAATACAATGCAATACAATGGAATACAATACAGTACAATACGATACAATGCAATGCAATGCAATGCAATGCAATGCAATGCAATGCAATGCAATGCAATGCAATGCAAATACAAATACAAATACAAATACAAATAGCAATGGCACACAATTGAATACAATTTAATACAATTGAATACAATAGAATACAATAAAATACGTTACAATACAATACAATAGACCACAACAGAATCCAATAGAATAAAATAAATACTATGGAACACAATGGCATACAATAGAATACAATGGAATATAATAGGATAAAATACAATACAATACAATGGAATACAATGCAATGGGAATACAATAAAGTACAATAAAATACAACACAATAGAATACAATAGAATACAATGCAATGTAATGTTACTCGTACGAATACAACTAACGATTTTCCCCTTTGTCGTTCGATGTTAAGCCACCTGAGCTGACACTGTAACACTGACAATAAAAGTCTTCTATTGATATTCCAGGATGTCGCGCTGAAAAGATTGCTATAGATGTAGACGCAGTCGACACGCATGTTCCTCATCCCAGTAGAGTAAGTATTGAGCTTGAGAGTAAGTTTTGTAAATGGAAATTATCTAGTGTAAATTTTTATTTACATTCATTAGACCTAATCAGGAACAGCTGCAAATCGAATGCTCTGATCCCTGCGATTCCAGTGCAGCGCTCTAACCAACTGAGCTACAGAGTGCAGCTGCTGAGTCCTAACCACAAGTTCATTTACATACACCAGAGCACTGCCATGTTAAGTTATGGATTACCTGTGTTTCTGGTTTGGCCTAATAAGTACTATTTAAAACACGAGCAGGAGTGTTTTATCAGATATAATTGCTTAAAAAATGACCCATCTAAAGAGTTCATTGGCGAAGTAATTTTAAGAATAAACGTTGTACGAGGCGAGAAAATCAAAGCTAAAGGTTATATAAAATGGTTTCAGCAGTATATCGGGGCCGGCCTGTTGTGTATTTTTCTTCTCTTTTACGTTCTCTATTTTGACACAAACTGGAAAATATATTTCGTAAACTTGCTATAGTTCTACCGCCATTTTGTTTGTTTATGTAAGTAGCCGGTCGGGGCGGGAAACTATTTTTCACGTGTTACCCAGCGGGATACATTGCATTTATCCAAAGCCACGCGACCACAAATCAGCCAATCGTGTTTGGTGTTTACTTTAGCTATGTAGCAATAATTGTTACTTCGATTATCATTACTATAGGCAACCAAAGGAGATGACTCACCGTTAAGCCAGAGTTTGGGAACGTAAGCAATGAATTATACGAGTATACGCTGCATGGACAACCATTTTTGAGATAACATGTCGGTTTCTATATTCGGTATCAATGGCTTGTGCATATTTATATATAGGTATAGCTTTAAATTATAATTATCCCGAGTGAACTCTAAAGCAAAGACGCACATCTATATATCATTTATAAACACGCAGTCTCAACTGCGCTCCTAAATGAGGCTGTGTTTACACCATTGAACTATAAATAAACTGGAAGGCTAACTCAGGGGGGGAAATTGAAGCCAGTGCATTTTAGTTTTTCTGAGTTATGAGCAGAAATACTCAACACTGAACGTTGGGCTATATATCAAATTGAAGCTATTGAAAAACGCTATTTGGTGTAGAAATTTCAAGACTTTAGCTAAAAGGGAAACATTGAAAAACTACAAACATAATTACCGATAATTTGCCGTTTTGCAGTTGTTTTTGTATTTTTTAAATATTTTTCTTTTCGCTGAAGTCTTGAAATTTCCACACCGAATAGCAATTTTCAATAGCTTCAATTTGATATACAGGGTGTATCAAAATAAACGCAATTCATCTTTTGTGATTAATAACTTTCGAAATATTATTTCTAGTTAAACGCTTTTAGGCTTACTTCAAAGCCTGTTCTTTTCTCTTTCAAACAAACTATTATCCTTGTCTCCAATGCTAGTAATAATTGCACAGGAAAAGATTTAGTAAAACCTATCATTTTTAGTTGTTGTTTAATTATGCAAGTTTACTATGTTATTGTTTAGTCGGTTTAAATGTTAGAATTTTCTTCTTTAAACTTTAATGTTGTCGTCACTACATCTGGAAAACCACGTAAGAACAAATTAAAAGTATTTTAAAAGAGATCAGGTTGTTTGAAAATCCTAAACGAATGCTAAAAATCATAGAATAAAAACATTCTGGTGTCTGAGCCAGAGTGTCATCGAATTGCGATGTAATGTAAACAGAAATTATAGCAAGTTGATGTCAGTCAGCTTAGATGGTCCAAGCCAAAATTATATCGCATTTGAAGTTTAAAACTGAGTTAAAAATAGTGGAAGAAAAGCCGTAATTATACTTATTGTTACAATCCATTTATTAAAATGCAACATTTTTTTGTTTTGATGAAAAAATCAGTTATTTTCATGAGAACGATTTGTTATTCCATCTCAATTTTTTTAATCTCCAATCGCAATGACGTAAAGTATTATTACCCGCGAACCAATGAGTCAAATTTAAGAAACAACCTACTGTTAGAAAGCTGAATGGCTACGCTTTAAAATGAATGTAAACTTTAACGTTTTCGTATATTATTTGTTTAGCAATTTACATTTCAGTCGAGGATTGCGCTTTTTTTGATACACCCTGTATAGCCCGACGTTTGGGGTCAAGTATTTCTGCTCATAACTCAGAAAAACTATTTTGGCTTCATCAAATCATAGGCCTTCATCATAGCAGTTAGCCTTCCAGTTGATTTATAGTTCAATGGTTTACACTTGTACCAGATAGCTTTCCGTAGCGAAAAAAACACCTATCCGTATCTTTAGGAATTAATGGAGAGATGATGTTTCGCTCAGCTTCTGAAAGTTGTACATTCCGTATCTGATAGTTGCTTTTTCGCGCCGCTACGGAAACCTATCCGGTATAGTGTCAAGGTCGCCTGAATCATAACATGTAAAGCAAAATAAAGAAAGGTACACTTACAGTTAAACCGAATGTTTTCTTGCGAGTAACATTGCAATATTGTCCCATAATATGTTAGAAATAAATATTGTTGTATTATTTTTAGTCCGTTTCAGCTTCGAGCATGTAACGTGTACA